TGTGTGTGTGTGAGTGTGTGTGTGTGAGTGTGTGTGTGTGTGTGTAAATATATCAAGTATCAAGTTTCACGACATTTCTATTATGTTTCTGCATGTACATTAAACAGTGATTTGTTAAGCAATATATAATGTAATAACACTTGTTAATACTGTTAATAAAAGTTCAGTATCATTCAGTATCATTTTTTGTTTCTTTATAGGAGAGAGTCGGCTTGTAAGTTGTAAAGAGTTGTGGTAAAAGAAGGTAAAGCCCTTCTTTTACCACAAGACTCATAAGAAAAGGACTCTGTATAATTTCTTTTTAATAACCATGTATGTGTATTAATTTGTGAAAGGACGTCATCATCCAGTCACACACTCCCAAGAATCAACTCCATCCAGAAACACAGTAAAAAAGACTGAATCTAAACTAACAGGAAGAGACAACAGCAAATCCAGTGTAAGTCTACAAACTACTGTATCCTCTATAAACAATAAATAGTCACTTTGCATGATCTGTCCAGGAAGGAGAGCAGCTGACGCCTGCGGACACATGCACAGATTTCTCAGTAGGTCAACTGTGTTTCATTCAGGTTCAAAGCGACTTGAGCTCTGTTGGAAGCTGTTGTGATATTCTGTTGATTAACAGAAAATAATTCTGAAACATCCCTCATCCCTTGTGTCTGACAGGAGCGTTTGCTGAAACCCATGAGTGCCTTCATTGGGATGAACAGTGATATGAGGGAACGTGCAGCGGTTATTAGCAGAGCAAGTCAATGTTTATGAAACTGCTTCCTTGTGTGGCAGTTTGTTTGAAGCTATTTTAAGGAAATATGATCAAGTCTGTCATTTTACCATAAAAGTAATAATAAAAATACACTTAGCATGAAGACAGTGAAGCCTTTTCAGGACTACTAAGATTTTATTTGTATTTTTTCAGTGATATTATTTTAATAACAGTTAAGCATATTCCCCCACAATCCTCATAACCATAAACTTTTATTTATTTATTTTTTATTTATTTTTTTGATAATTTTCATTTTTCTGTGATGATTCTTATTAAATTCTTACAGTGATACAGTACAGAAAATGAATCTGTATTGACAAAATCATATTTTAGATTCAAGCAGTAATTTTAAATTACTGTCCACACACTGAATAAAGATTCAGAGTAAAAATTCTAGTAGAAAATAAATTATATACACACACAATGGCAAAGTGAACAAAGTACAGTACATTTTTAAAAATGTACTTTGCAAATAAAATAAAAAATAAAAATAGAATATATATTTAATAATATATATTGCATTGACAAAGTCATATTTTAAAATTACCATTTGAATCTAAATTACTGTCCACATACTGAATAAAGATTCAGAGTAAAAATTCTAGTAGAAAATAAATTATGTACACACATTTGCAAAATTAACAAAGTACAGTAAATTTTAAAAACTGCACTTTGCAGATGTAAAAAAATTAATAAAATAGTTATGCATTTAATA